AATGGAAATGACCTTCTACAAACATGTGTTGTGTTCTGTTTTGGATTGACCATAGCCATTCTGTTTATTGATTTAACAAAAAATGCTGAATAAAAGCTATTTCAGTTTGACCGAAGCTGATACTCTTCACTCCCCAACCCCAAGGCTTTGATTTGGCAGCTTCAAAAAAGTCATTACTTGCCTGAGCTCTGGCTTCATACCCTCAGTAAGTCACGAGGTTATGACATCAGTTCATGAATGCAGCATTATGTATAGTCTCATCTACTTAAAATCTCTTCTTTTCATGAGCAAATGGAAGTGGGCAGTTATTGTTAAAAGGGAAATTATTTTTACTGGACAGAATTCATCCAGCAACTTAAGAAAGAAGACATTTTAAAGCAGACAAGACTGCTGATTATTATTCAGTCATATTTCATCTCTAGAATTTACAAACTTTGCTCTCCACTTAATAGCAACTCCCAACAAATAACAACTTCAACAACAACAGCAAGAAACTGCTGTCCTGAATAATCCTGCCATTTCACAACTACTCGTGGATACCCAGAGAGCACTGCAGAGGTCAAACAGTCCAGCGGTGAGTTTCATACCTACTTAAGGGTACATCACTGGGCCACCGGAACGTTGCAGCAACGCATCGAGTATCTGCACAAAGCCAAAAGTCTGATGGGTGCTTTTAAACCCTTGTAAATACAGAATTTAACAGTGAAGAGCCTTTATAACTTGTGGTATTTTATACTGAAGGTCATAGATAAAAGTCAAATCTAAAAATTCACAGCAATAAGAAATTCTGTCATCAGTAATTTCTGAATCTCTGCAAAGACACCATCAGGATACTATGTTTACCTTTATCCATTAAATAAAATCTGCTTTTGTTTTGGTAGATAAATGACTAAATTTAAATTGTTTGGGTCTTTTCCACATTTGTATGGACACAGAAATAAACAAGGTAACAGAGAAATTGAATTGTCCTTGCACTGTGACCACACGCAGCAGAAAAGCCTCCATTTTTGAATGGCTGAACTTCCAGAACAGCTGTTCACTTGTACAGTCACTGACTGGACAGCTATCCAAAAGAAGGAGACAAACACCAAGTAAAGTGGAGAGTGCCTCTGATTGCCCTATGCTGGCTGGGCAGGAATTTCACATGCTTTCAGCCAAAGCAAAGGATGAACTCTGCAGCAGCCCATCCTGAGCCTAAAATCAACTCTGCATGCCCTGATTCTCTGCCGTATTGGCTGCGTGGGTAAGGACCTATCATCTCTACTTGGTATCTTCTAACTACACAACTAAAGTATTACTGATTTAACACATGCATGAGATTCAATATAGGAAACCCCAAGCTCCTGCAGAGTTCTTACGCCTCCACGTAGGACTTCACTGAGGACATGCATGGATCTAGCAGGAGTACAGGACGGATGCTGCTTCCCCAAGGGCAGGGTCTCTTCTCAGGCTCCCAAAAATAGAGGTGGAGCAAGGCTGCTACTGTCACCCTCAGGAGGTGCAGCCCTCACCCTCCACGTGACCAGCAAATTCTCCCCGTTCACACAGGCATACAGGTACCAGACTGCAGACACACCTCCCTGTCACTCCCTGCCGCAGTCACCACGTGGAAGGACTTCAGCTGTGCCCTGCTGTCACCACGTGGAAGGACTCCAGCTGTGCCCTGCTGTCACACAGTGTAGGGTTGCCCTACCCCTGGTGTGGACCCCAATGCCATTCCCATGGAAAAGAAGACTTTGTCTCTCAGCTGGCTGTCCCGGCATTGGAACAGACCCCTGCAGAGCTGCAGAGCATTTCACCTGGGCTCACCCTTTGGCTCTTATTGTCTTTGGCAACAGATCATAATGTTCAGTATCTTATGTGCACAGGTTGATGGCAAAAGAAAGAGCCTCTCCAACAGCAGCCCTGGGAAAGGGGAATGAACATTTCTTACCTAGTGTATGAACAAGCTCATTTGGGGGCTACTGTAAATTCCAGCAGTAGCCATGGTTTGGCTATTAGGCCTGCACCAATTCTAGCAGCATTCATCTCAAACCTTGTGGCACAGCATTAAAGAACAGCAATAAAAGTGCAATTCCAAATATATGTTTCCTGGTGTGGTACCGCTTTTGAGTTCAAGTACATCTCTGCTATCTGCTGCCCAAATTCTTCAACTCAGCCTGAACTTTAGAGGCTACTTAGAGCAATTCAATTTACTTGCAACTGTACCAAAAAAGCAGAGGGCTTGATGCAGCCAAGAAAGATTCCAGACTGTAAAGTAACAATTTATCAGAGTAGTAATTAACATTCTATAAGTAAACCAAATTCCTTCCTCCTCTAAGTCAGGTGGAAGTTTAGTATCTTTACACTTGACGGGACGGCACCTTCACCTCCTAGTGAATGGAAAAACTGTCACACAATCCTGAACGTATGCAGTTACTGCTGCCATCCCAGTTAGGTAACAGCTCCACCTAAATCTAGCAAAAGATCTCTGTTGCTGTCGGAAGAAGAGGTCTCACCCTGTCCCTGCTCATTCTGGCTGCTTCTCTGAGGCCAGCACTGTGGTCACACAATGACCTGTACAGGATTCAACACATTTGCAGCCAGTACTAATACTGGCATCAGATGGCTGTGCAACCAAAGCATTAGCTTTTCTTTCTGCTAGGCAGCACTATTTGCAGCAGTTAAGTCTGCAGAGAGGATGGATGATGCCTGTCACCTAAACTTTTGTATCTGGGACAGAAAGGTTGAGCTCAGTAGTACTGTCCCTACGCACTGTGTCTCGCCTGGGAACTGTTCACTGCAGGGGTGGAGAACAGGATTCCAGCATCGCTTCTTCCAGCTGGCATCACAAAATCCAGAAAGACACAGAAAAAAAAAGAAAAAAAGAAAATACAGATAGGAAAAACTGTCAACATTTGTGAACCAAAACGAGGTACAAAGACATGAACAGCAATTCCAGCACAATGGCCAAACCACTATGAAGCAAGAGTCACAAACGTTTTGGTCCATGGTTAGTTGCAGTTTTGGATGATGTTTCACTAGACACAGTTAATTACCCACCAGGCTTGCATTCATGACTTAAACTAGCCACTGTTTTCAATAAATGGCTTTTGCCTATACCGTATGAAAACTCTCTTGATCCCCTTGGAGCTAATTACATTTTTCAGGAGAGAGCTGATTCCTTGATCAAATTCTCTATTTTTCAGGGCAGGAACTGGATAGCATCATATACCATGACAATTATATTGGGAAATTCCTGTTGGCACTGATAATACCTCAGGAATTCTCAGAGAAATCCATTTTTAGGAAAAACATCCAAACTTGTCAAGGCCTGCTTCCAAGAAGGGACGATGAACGCTTGTCCAAGGTCTTAGCAGAAGCAATCAGCCCCAGAGACAGTTGCTAGAACTGGCAGAACAACATGGATAGAAACAATTCTCCGTTTGGGTGTGGTTTCGCAGGATTACATTATTCCTTCATCAGTCACACTATGACACTTGGGGGAATGTTTCATGAAAGGTCACACATAGACTCTTCAAAAATTAAGCACACATTAATAATTTTGGGGTGGGAGTCACGTTTGTTAACTTTAGCCACCTAAAAATTGAGAAGCCAAGATTCTTTGCAAAGGAGGAGGACAGGAATATCCAATGAGCACCTCCTTCTATATTAATCTTGGGATTAACCGAGTCAGCCTTTGGAGAGCTCTCTCTGTATTGACCACTGTGTTCTTGCACAGCTGATCAGGACAAGACACTTGACTTTCTGCTGGCTAAAGTCAGATGAGACAAACCACATCACTGATGCCCTCCTGTTCAAAAACGTGAAGCTCTCCAACTGGGCATAGGACAGGCAGGAGCATCCAGCAGTCACTGGAGTCATTTGTAGGAGAAGCCCTAGAGAAGCCCTTAGTGCTCCTAAAAATAGCAAAACTGTAAGTGCCTTTTAAAAAAATCTAAATTATTCTGACAGTTCCCACTCTAACCTAAGATGGCAACATTAATGTGATAGCCTTGAGAAAAAGTCATATTTTTGCTTCTAATTTACCGCTCATCCAAATGTCCTTTTATTTCCCCTGGTCAAAATTAACACAAAACCCTGAAAAGGTTTTTCTCAAGTTTAATATAATTTAGAGCTTTAGTGCTATATCCTTGTGTTCTACTTTGTTCCTATCTGAGGACCTAGCCCTGTAAACACATAAGCACTGGAGCAGCTTTATGCAGAAAAGCAGTATCCCTGTTTACCAGGATAATTCATGTGCCTTTCGCTATATTCTTTCCAGAATATATTCTATTCCAGAATTATTTCAAGATTGCAATCTATAATATTAAAAAAAGAACATTATGAACAGATCCAAAAGCGTTTGTCCACCCCTGCGCTGGTGACAGGGAATGATTAGCACAGTACCAGTAGCTGGCCACTTTAAAGGAGGTGAAAAAGTGAAGGGTCTTATGTCATTTTTTTTTCCTCTTGGAAATGGACGAGAAATCTTCTCATCCCTTTTGTTTTTCACTCACACTCACCACTTGGTGGAGGTGAAAGCTTCTGGGTTGACCTATATGAAAATTAATTGTCAGTGTGCATCTCTCAAGTGTGAGTTCACAAAGGTTTAAAAGAACACTGCCCATCTACACATCATAAGGTCTCTGGTTAGATTTCTACTGTTTTCCACCTAAAACCAAAATGCACAATGAATTCACTCAAAAGTCAGTCCCAGACACAGGAAATTGGGTGTAAACCTTCCTAAGACTAGCCTGAGTTCAGCTATATCATAAAACCCACTCTCACTATGGTGTCATGCCACTTGCCATCCATGAAGGCTTTGCACAACCCATTTTAATCAGCAAATCTGAGGAGTTAACACTGAAGCTTACTGGGAGCTCACAGAAGACCCTCCCTCCCCCAGTACCGGGGCATAAGCACTGTGGCTGAGGACTACTTTGTTTTAAAAGCCACACATTTTCCTACTTAATTGTGCTTTAAATAAAACAAAAACAAAAACCAACAAAACCAAAACCCAACTATCTAAACCAACACAGAGAACCTCCCAACAAGTTATATGAAAAGTGAGCTGCCAAGATTTTCCACCTCACGCGACACTTTCACACCAAGTCCTATCAATCTGTGTGTTGGTTAGAGGTGTAGTACTACACAGCATGGTGGTGTCAGCTGTCATGGTTAGGAACCATTCATGTCAGACATTACAGAAGATTTAATGACATGACAGTACCTTCACAGCCCTCTGGTAGGTAAGGAAAATCTAAAAGGATCTTCCCAACCTTTCACAGTAAACACAATTGGATAATCTAAAGCACCTGCAAGCAGGAGATGAGTCCATGATATACCTTTCCAATCAGCCAGATAATACTGTTATTCAAACAGTTATGTCAGCTCTTAAGTCTCCTCTGTGTTTTGGGCATTTCTAAGGACCTTCTCACTTGGGCATTTAGCCACCAACAGATTTAGTTGATCCAAACACCCTATTTCCTTCTCCTGCATCCTCAGCTGTTCCTAAGATGCCCAGGCCCTTCACAGGGGCCGAATGACCATTTCAAGAGCTGTCTGGTTACTATTCTTTCCTAGGAGCTGAGAGGAGCTAGCAGTACAGAGACATCCTGCTCTTCCGCATGGCTTCACTGATTAAATACGCCGGGCTCAGTTCTGGCTCCTCAGTCATGATTGAAATGTTCTGCCATTCCCCCAACTGGTTTGACTTTTTAATGGTGTCCACCACACACAGGGCATACAGACAGTCATCAAAAGTGGCAGCCATCGTGAGGGGCCTCCCATCCCAGGTCCTCCTGTCGTCCTGGTCCTCAAATGCCTGCCGGACAGCTTGAACCATCTTAATGGTACCCCGGAGATAGGGGGATGGGATGTCACTGAAGGCCTTCTCAGGAAGTAAGGAGTTGCTGACTGGCGTGGAATCCTTTAGCAGGAGCTCCCGCTGAGGAGAGCTGTTGCTCTGTCCGTAGAGATCAGTGCCTATTACAATCAGTCGTCCCACCGAACCCACCACGATAATGTCTTGTTTGAACTCCCCCGGGACATTGAAGTTGAGCGTCACCGTGCAGCACACACCGCCTTCCAGGACCATCTGAAACGTACAGAAGTCATCGCTGGTGATCTGCCGTATCCCCTTGATGTGGTCTGTCTGCTTCACGAAGGTCTTGAGCAACCCGTGCACTTTCACAGCCTTCTGGCTGGTGAGGAAGGTCAGGAGGTCAATGATGTAGGTGCCAACCGAGTGCAAACCCCCACCTCCCATCAGGTCATCACAGCTCCAGTTGTACTTCTTGCCTAGCAGGCTTCCGCTGTGAACCTGCACCTCGCACACCAGCAGCTCCCCTACGTAACCCTCCTGGATCAGCTGCTTCATCTTCACAAACGCAGGCAGGAAGCGCAAAACGTTCCCCATGATGCTCATGAGCTTTGGGTAATAATGAGCTGCCGACATCATCCTGAAGGCATCCAGGGGAGTCGCCGTTCGGTCACAGATGACATTTTTTCCAATGCCTGAAAAACAGTTTAAAAAAAAAAAATCAATGAAAATATATGAAGTTGAAACCCTTGAGGCTATTTGAATCATAGAATGGTTTGGGTTGGAAGGGACCTTAAAGATCATCCAGTTCCAACCCCCCTGCCAGCAGCAGGGACACCTTCCACTAGACCAGGTTGCTCAAAGCCTCATCCAGCCTGGCCTGAAACACTTCCAGGGAGGGGGCATCCACAGCTTCCTTGGGCAACCTGTTCCAGTGTCTGACCACCCTCACACCAAAGAATTTCTTCCTAATATCTCATCTAAACCTCCCCTCTTTCAGCTTAAACCCATTTCCCCTTGTTTTGTCATTAACTGCCCTTATGAAAAGTCCTTCCCAGCTTTCTTGTAGCCCCTTCAGGTCCTGGAAGGCTGCTATAAGATCTCCCCAGAGCCTTCTCTTCTCCAGGCTGAACAGCCCCAACTCTCTCAGCCTGTCCTCACAGCAGAGCTGCTCCAGCCCTCGGATCATCCTCGTGGCCTCCTCTGGACTCATTCTAACAGGTCCATGTAATTATTCTTAAACTTATTCTTAAAGACTAAGTCAAGGAGAAAGACCCTCGAAAGAAGGAAACATTTCAATGTGGTGTTGAAGGCACAGATCCTCTCTGGCATGTTTCCAAAATGCATATAAGAGTTTCTTGAGCACCACAGTGAAAATGAATTCCTTTTTATTTTCAAAATCCACTCATGCCTGAAAACAGCATGAAGGCGAGGGCCTAGACAGGTAGGAAATAAGCTAAGGTGAGGTGGACTGCTACTCCACATTTGCCACCTTCTGGGATCAAGTATGAAACCAACCACCCCCATAGAGCCATCTCACAGACATCTCTTCTGTGATAACCTGCCTGTGTGGAGGCTTCTGAGAGCTGAACCTGAGCTTCAGATTCAAATCCCTGAAGCATATGAGTAACACGACCACAGGTACACAGTAATTTATCATAGGTACACTGAAAAGTCTGGGCTGGTCTTCTCAATGGTCTTGTCCCTTCATCTTTCCTGCTCAGACTGTTTAAAAGGCTCTGACTGGAGAGAGGGAGAAGTACTGGGCTTGTTGCTTGATTGAAGATGTAGAAATTGCTTCTCACTCATACAATCCCATGCTGTTCTGACAGGGGCACTCATTTTTTGGGAAGCAGCTCTGCTGAAATGTCAACAGTGCATCCACGGTGCCAAGGGAGAGCAGCCACTGCTCTAAAACAGGTCAAACGTAGCTGTGACAATCTGTTCCCTCACGGAATTCTCCATATGGGCACGCTGCTTACTGAAGCTTGCATGACTGTCCTCTTTTATCTGGCCATCAAGGTGTGCAACTGAATGCAGTGCAGGCTGAGATGCCTAAATAATGGGTTTATTATTAATTTCTCCTCATCAAATACTTGCATTCTCTACCCATACACACGTATAGTGGCAGAGTCTCCAGCTTCCTTTTTAGTTGCATCCATTTAGTTGTTTTTTTTACGCTGAATGAGCAATATTAGGTGAGCTATACAACACCTTATAGCACTAAATACGATCTTTACCTTGAGAGCCTCGGGCTATAGCTGGGTCTGGCACTTAAAAGAGCTGAATTTGGATCCTGTCTTCTGGAGCCCAGATGAATAAAGCTGGTTACTCACTAAATGGCTTTGTGTTTTGATTCCTTTTCCCTTCAGATAGGTGAGAAATCCCTTTTTCTTTAAAGAGCTGCTGTGAGGATAAAATTTTACATGTTTTGGAGCTGTTTGGATGAAGTCATATAAATAGAGACAGATGGCAGGGATCTGTCTGAGCTCACTTACATGAATATTTAACAGCCTGACTAGAAGAAGAAGGGGGTCACAGTCCAAACATTCAGTAACCAGCTTATCCACACTGCCTATTCCCAGTTTTTGTCCGCTGCTATTTGAGTAGCTGAAACTGGAGGGAGGGTTGTCACCCCTAAAGTGGCAGTCACATCTAGTTAACAGCCAAGAAAGGAAAGATCTTTCTTCAACTTGCCCCTATTTACCTTCTACTTCATCAGATAAGTAGAGATGTGCTCATTTTCCTCTTATATTAGGCAGGAACCCTCTATTCAGTGGCCGTGGTCTTCCCTTCTCACTTTTCTCTCTCATCTTTACAGACTGCTGCTGGTGACTGAAGGGACATTTTCAACCTTATAGCACTTCTATTCCTGCTCCTGAATAATTTCTTTCTGCATTTGTTTGATACTGGAGAAAGCATTCATCTACCTGCCCTATATTCCACTAACTGGTAGCTCCAGGTATGTCACTGGGTACAGATCCCTAATATCACGGTGCTCCCTGAGCTACACAGGTTCTTTACAGAGAGATTTTAGTCTGGCAAATTAGTTATCAAAATAAGAGAAATCTTAGACAAAACTGAGTACCCAATGATGATTATAAATACGAATGAGAAGTCTATGGGTTTTGCCAGTTCTGAAGCCCCCATCACAAGAGAGACATGGAGCAGCTAGAACAAGTCCAAAGGAGGGCCACCAGGATGGAGCACCTCTGCACTGAGGACAGGCTGAGAGAGTTGGGGCTGTTCAGCCTGGAGAAGAGAAGGCTCCGGGGAGATCTTATAGCGGCCTCCCAGTACCTGAAGGGGCTACAAGAAAGCTGGGGAAGGACTTTTCATAAGGGCAGTTAATGACAAGACAAGGGGAAATGGGTTTAAGCTGAAAGAGGGGAGGTTTAGATGAGATATTAGAAAGAAGTTCTTCACTGTGAGGGTGGTCAGACACTGGAACAGGTTGCCCAGAGAAGCTGTGGCTGCTCCTTCCTGGAAGTGTTTCAGGCCAGGCTGGATGAGGCTTTGAGCAACCTGGTCTAGTGGAAGGTGTCCCTGCTGCTGGCAGGGGGGTTGGAACTGGATGAGCTTTAAGGTCCCTTCCAACCCAAACCATTCTATGATTCTACATCCCTCACATTAAAGAAAAATTGCCCTTAGGACGAGTGTAAGTCAGGCAGGCATGCAGAGAAAAGGGAAGAGCCCTAAATATTTGTACGGAGACAAAGAAAAGGTGAAGTTTTACACATACCCCTTCCACCATTTCAACCTTTTTGAAAAGGCTGAAACCTTTTAATTACAGCAAATCCAAAATGCAAATGTTTTGAGAGCCTTCCTGTCTCTGTGCATAGGCTGATAATACATGTTGTGCCCTCATCCCTCTCGGGGATTTAAACACATTTTTGCTTGGTGTCAGAAAGCTTTTATAGTCTCTGAAAGCTCGTGCAGGTTCTTTCAGCACGACTTTGCTCAGCACTTGGGTCTGTGCACACTACAGATCTTTGTCTTCTCTGTAGCTGCCAATCTGCAAGCAGCCACGTTAGCTTTCTTGAAGCAGGAAGAGAACATGAAAGGTTTGCTTAATTTAATTTAGAGAAATGCTCCGGTGTGTTTACATGACTAGAATAAGAAACAGGCAGATCAAAACACCATCGTTTTCTGCTCTGTTCTCTCTGCTCCCTTCTCAAAAGGAGGAGAAAAGGCACCTTTCCCTTTGAGCCATCCTCTACAGAGGGGACAGGCTGAGCAGAGGGCAGCACACAAGGAAAACCTCCCTTCCCAACAGTGATGGTCTCGTGCAAAGATGTGCTCCAAATGCAGGGGGGTTCTCTGGGAACCCACCCACTTCTTCTGGCCTGGGGTTACACTCTCATCCTGTCCCCTTTTGGACAAGACTCTCTAAGAAAGAATAAACTATTACCTCTTCTCATTCTATCAGTGTGTTTTGCCATTTCGTCTTTGAAAATGATGCCACAGCAGCCAGCAAAAACTTCATGAGTTACATAAAAGCAGGAAGCTTGTTTCAGCAAGAAGGTGCAATAATTTTGTCCATGCTGAGCAGCAGAGTTGAATACATCTCACCGTATGAAAGCATACACATCCCTTCCACATGCCTCAAGAAACCTGGTCTACAATGCTACAGATCAGGCAAATTCTGAGCATTGATTTCTTGAGTTCTTAGGTAAAATGAAGAAGAAAAATAATTTAATTACATGTCATTCCTTTTGAGGGCTTCAAACAGCCTTCACACCCCAGTCTCTCTGCTTGGCTGTGCTTCAGAAAGAGACAAAGTGGTGCCAGCCACTTTTGTGACATGGAATTTCTCTGACCTGGCACAGGATAGGGGAGGGCTCACTCCTGGCCAGCCCAAGTTCAAAGCTGAACTCAGGTAACACACTTCCTACCAAAGCTCCCAGGAGCACAAGTTGACTCTGAAGCCCATCCACAGCTGCCAGGCAGGGCTTCAGCTTGGGACCCAGTCCGTGACCCAATGCTCTGGGTGTAGACAGCCAGAAAGGCAAAGAGCCTGCACTAACAGGCACTGGTGAGCCACCTGCGCCCACAGGTATGGGGCCACGAGATGGCAACCACATTAGACCCAACAGGTCTGATTCCCTGAATCCCTCTATCTTCTCCCTCCAGCAGGAAAACAGAAAAAAAAAAGGTGGAGCTGGAAGATATCCATGAGATAGACCAGGTCTCTAGGCCAATGACTTAAGTATAACATGCTCTAGCAGTCCTTAAAAATGTGAAAGACATGAGTTGGAGCAAAATGACGTGGGAGAATTTGACTTCTAGGTTTGGTTGTTAAAGATGAAAAAGGCAACATCTGACAACTGCTCAGCTCCTCTTTAAAATGAACCAGAGTTTCCAGAATAGGTCCACATCACAAAACCACTACTAACACTAGCGTCTTCTCACTTCTCAGTGCCTCACAAGAAAGGTTAAGGGCTGAATGGTCCATCTTGACTGTTCTTTATCTCCCAGAGTGAATATATCCCCCAAGCCAAACCTCAACAACTTCGATACCAATCTTCATTTATTTTAAGAAGGTTATTTAAGAACACTGATCTTCCCTGAAGAAGGAGATGTCTAACCAAAGCTCTAGAAGCAGCTGAGTGAATAGAAAAAATTGTCTGTGCTATCACTGGTGGTATCATTTCTCTGGCTGAACACTTCTTTACCACCTTATGCCGGAA